ATGAGTTGAGTCCTAATTTTCGTCTGGGCTTTGCTCCTGTCTCATAGGTGCAAACCTTTCAGACTTAACTGGTATCTCCAGTATTGGAGAGGGCAGACCAAATAGGATTTGGGCAAATCCAAATAGGATTTCTTTTCAGGAATCCTACTAACTTAAGCCCCCAAAAAGTACAGGAAAAAGTTTATTTATTTTATCGACAGTATTTTAATGAGTAAATGTGCGAAGTGCAAAAATCCAATTCCCTTGTTATGTTTCTCGGTTACTGTCAAATATCACAGTTGCCTTTGCCTTGCTTTGCTTTTGTTTCGGCAGAACTGCCTGGGTCCCCTTATGAACATTTTGAAGGAGCATATTGTTGGTATGGAGAAGGAGCACCTGATCTCCCATCAGTCTGAGCTGACGGCATTTTTCATGAGAGCCCTGGACTTCCGAACAGAGCATGCCCAGGTGACTTATTTAGGGGGATGAACAGCAACAGCTCAACCTCTACATGCTAACTCTATCAGTTGTTTTAAAAAATATTAGAAGTTTCCATTGCATATGTGTTCTGAAATTCTGGGTATCAAATATTCTGTTCTGGAATCGTTCTTGGGGTAGAAAACATTATCGTCGGGTATTTAGTCTGAAACAGACAAAATTAAAACGGGCTTTGAAAGCTCCAATTCCTACATTTCAAACTTGGAATTATGTTTTCTAATTTTTCTAGGATGATTTAGACGAAGTTGGCAAGACAGAGGCTTACATTATTGATTGTCTAATAAGTATGGTTATGAAACTTTCCGAGGCTTCTTTCAGACCCCTCTTCTTCAAGGTAGGAAGTTTAAATATAATTCATCTGCATCAGAATATTTGTATTTTCCAGTGCACAGACGCAGAAAAGAGCTAATCTGCCCTTCACTTTCAGCTCTTTGATTGGTCCAAAACAGAGTCTACCCTGAAAGACAGACTGCTGACGTTCCACCGAATAGCAGATTGCATTGCAGACAAGCTCAAGGGTCTCTTCACCCTGTTTGCTGGTCACTTAGTGAAGCCATTTGCTGAGACACTGAACCAGGTCAACATTTCTAAAACTGGTAAGTTTCCAGTTACTAACTACAGAGAGGCATTGGCAGGCTAACTCTAATTGCTGAAAGAGGTTAATTATAACTGCTGAAAGTTTAGTCTTACAGGATTTACTTCACAGCACATACTTCTCATTTCTCTCTTTCTTCTTTCTCTCATAAATACGGCATCTTTCGTATTCTGATGGAACCAAAGGACATTTTTCATCCATGGGCTCTGGGCTGCCAGTACAAAGTTGAGACCACATGAAAATTTTCAATGTCAGTCCCAGTGAGTTCCATGAGAATGAATTGTGTGGAAAGAGGGTGACTTGTTTCTGTTTGGGTTTCTTTCTTTTTTTCTTTTTTTTTTTTCATTCATTGACTTCTCTTATATGCTACCTGGTATATTCAGACTCCTCTGCTTTCTTGGCAAAAATAGGTATTACTTTTTTGTATGGGAAACTATTTGCCCATCCGATTTGTAGCGACCTGAAGAAAGCCTCCATATCCACAGGTGTGGCCAAGCACTTTTCCTATAGCCTGTGGCTGTTTTATCCCCAGCTGACTGTGAAGGGCAGCAGCAGACCAGCTAGGGCATTAGCTGAAAGCCAGACAACATATTGCATCCGCTTTATTGTTCTGAGTGATTAGTACAAAATTGCTATGTAGTACATCCTTTAGCTATGCTCACAAACTAACAAAGTTTCTATCTTGTGGGGAAGTTTTGTATTTTCATTTTTTGGATGACTTTTTTTTTTTTTTCTTCGATTGATACGTAGATAAAGCTTTCTTCGACTCTGAGAATAGCACAGAAAAGAGCTGTCTGCTGTTGCAATTCACCACAGACTGTCTGCACAAGCTCTTCCTGTTTGACACCCAGAAGTTCCTGAGTAAGGAAAGAGCAGAAACCTTAATGATGCCTCTGGTCGATCAGGTATTGACAAACACAAAAAAACAATTCATAGCTGATTTCCAGTTCTCCCTTAACAAAAAGCGAGGAATGAATTCATTGTCTTCAGGCAAAGCAGTTAATACTATCTGTAGCCCAAGGCTCTGAATTACTACAATTTTTATCCTCTTTCTAAACGTCTTCATTCTGTAAGGTTCATGCATGTTGTTGAGCTCTTACAGACCAGTGTACTCCTACTGATGCTCTTTGACGTAACTCTTGAGTACCTGAAAGCTAAAGCTAGAAGTGCTTTTGGCTGGCTTTATCTGAGCCTGAATCCATTTGACAAGCTTTTTACTTCCACAGCTAGAAAATATGCTTGGAG